CTAAAGAAAATATGCCACTGGATTTTGTGCACATTTGCAGGCCTGTATAACATGTATGTCACCAGCTGCTAAAATAAACACCTCATCCAGCATTAGGCACGGAATTTCATTTGGCACTGAATGTGGCAGCTGAGAATTGTGAAACTCTGCTGATTTTCCAGGATGAGCTGGGTAAGACCAGCAAGAAGAAAAACCCCTGCCTTCCTCTAAAGCTGCTTTAAACAAATGTCACTCTGGACTGCATCTACATGCCCCAGAGTAATCCCTTCAAGATTTTTCAGGTAGTGCTTGAATCCATACCTCTGAACCAGCAAAGCCAACGATTTAAAACAGAGGGAAAAGAGCATCCCAGACCTTCTCCCATCCTCACCATCCATTCCAACATGGAAACGGAGTCACTCGGTTGGAGGGAAAACACGGACTGGATTTCGCCTGGACTACGGAATGGAGTCAGTGAAATCCCCACCTTCTGCTCCCACTGTTTTTTTCTGGTCTAGGCTGACTGTAGTTACACTGATTAAATCTCCCCACCTGCAGAGATGTAGCCTGCTTATCAGCTCACTCCAAAGTGAGGTTAGATGACAATTCTAGCAGTCTGATCTACTAAAATATATTGATACCCATGGCAGGGAAGTTGGAACTAGATCAACTTTAAAAAGCCTTTCCAAAAAAACTCATGGTGGGCCAGTCTAGTCTGAGAAGTGGATTTTTTATTGAGTCAGTAGTTATACACACCATGATATTGGAGGAATGTACAAGAAGCCTAAATGAAAGTTTTAAGTGAGCTAATTGTGAGCTTTCCTAGCATTTGAGTGATTGCATGCTCAATTATCTGCTAATACCATTTTATTGTAAAGCAATTATTTCCATGTTTAAGTGTTACAGAAATATGTGACACTTGAAAAACCAATAAGTCATCCTAGTATAAGTAAGTATATTGTGGTAAGTAAGAAAGAAAGTACATTTGAACCATAGCAACAAGGTAGCAGAGAATAATTTCCTCAACATTTCTGTTATGATTTACAATCTTTTCTTATCAGCAGAAAAATCTACTGCACAAATACATGCCAAATGGCTTTAGGAGATAATTTTAAAATGCAAGTATTTGACTGTTGCCAATATTGGAATTAAATCTTTTCCTTTACATTTTATTTCAGGCTCTCACTAGAGTTTTTGTCTGCAGTGAAATGGAATCTCACTTTGTAGAGCTCAGTAGCAAATAAGTCTTCAGGCATGACACCCATAAAAAGGGCTTTCTATTGCAAGTTGTTATATCAGGATTTGTTGGCAGAATTTGTTAGTCATGACTACTGCTCTGTTAAATCAGGTGTTATTGCATATATCAAAAGAACAAAGAAGAATATAAATTATATTTATACTAAAACTATAAAATATTTCCTGAGTGGCTTATAAATCATAGTATCCTAGTCACATGGATCACCTGACCAATAATTTATGAGTCATCTATAGGATTTATACCAGAAAAGACAAGCAGAGTATGTTAAATTTTATACATTATTTTCTAAAATAACAGATAGCAAAACAAAGTTACACTCTGCTCATATGCAAGCGCTTTCATCCCCAACTGTCTGACCTTCAAATTAATGGTGATCTGCTTTAGACACAGGTTTTTCTCTTACTAAAACAAATACCAGACCAAACCCACAAAATTTCCGCGTGTGTTTTGTTTGCCTTATTTACAACAGGCAAAAAGCATATGCATTTCTCAATAAAAAGTACAAGGAGCTTCTCCATAAAGAGACTGTCTACAAATCTATGGGGCCTGATAGAATTCATTTAAGAGTCCTCAAAGAGCTGGCTGATGTAATTGCAAAACCTCTCTTGATTTTTAAGCAGTCTTGGGAGTCTGGAGAGGTCCCAGCTGACTCAAAGCTAGTGGACATTGTCCTGGTTTTCAAGAAGGGCAAGAATGAGGATCCCAGATACTGTAGCCAAATAATCTCACTTTACTGCCTGGTAAATTTATGGAGAAGCTTATTCTGGGAGGTATTGAAAAACCCCAGAAAGACAATGCAGTTTTTCTGGACAAAATGTCCAGCACACAGCTGGATAAACACATCACATGATGAGTGAGCAACTGGCTCATGGTTTGGGCACAAAGGGTGACTGACAGGGATGACATCAGAGTGGTGACCTGTCACTAGTGGGGCTCACAGGACTCTATCTCAGGCCTTGTGCTCTCCCACAATTTAGTAGGCAACCTGGAGGCAGGACTGGAAGGAATACTAAGAAAGCTGGCAGATGATAGAAAACTGGGAAGAGGTGTTGACTCCCATGAAGGCACAGAGGCCCTGCAGAAAGACCTCAGCAAATTAGAGGACTGGGCAATCACCAAGCATATGAAGTTCAATAATGGAAAGTGCTTGGTTTTGCACCTGGAATGTGCCAACCCAGGCTGTACAGACAGGCTGGGGAATGAGATTGTGGAAAGCAGTGCCACAGAAAAGGACCTGGGGATCCTGGCTGACTGAAAGTTGAATATGTGTCAGCAGTGGCAAGGGAGGGGATTGTCCTGCTCTGCTCTGCATTGGGGCAGCCTCACCTGCAGTGCTGGGGACAGTTCTGGGCACTGCAATATAAGAAATATATTAAACTATTAGAGACAGTCCAAAGGAGGGCAAAAAGATGGGGGAGGGACTTGAGAAGAAGCTGTAGGAGGAATAGCTGAGGGCTCTTGGTCTGTTCAGGCCTGGAGGAGACTGAGGGGAGACATTATTGCAGTCTACAACTTCCTCACCACCTGCTGACTGATACCAGAACCCCCTTCCTGAACACAGATCAGACACCCTTCTGGGTAACTACTCATGTCTTGTATAATACCAGGCATGATGTTCTATGGTATGAAATATCCCTTTGGTCAGTTCAGGTCACCTTACTGGTGGACCATGAGACAACTTAAAAAAAAACAAAAAAAAAACCTCTTCCCTAGCAGACACCAGGACAATATCCTCCTCTTATCCCATATAATTTTTGTCAGCACCTTCCCTGTTTATCTCTTTTGAGAGATATACACACAATCACTTAGTCTATGGAACACCTCTGTCAATTCTGTCAGGATTTCCTCTCTCATCTGAGTGGTTCTATGGTTATAAAAAAGATTACTGTGTTATCATGTAGATCATGAGAGAGTTTTCTTCCCTGAAACTGATTTTTAATACTAACTTCAAAAATCCTGAGACTGTGTTAAGTACTTTCAAAACATAATCTATGAATACTATATTGTAACAAGTTAACCAATAAGGAAGAATGGTATTCATCTCCTCAAAAGGTTCTACAATCAAAGTTTAAAAATTCCAGTATTTACTGTCATTGTTCAAAAACACTGTTGTAACTGCTGGGTAATGCATTACTGCATCTTTTTTTAAGAAAATCTGTGAGTTTTTCTGATCTTCTGGAGTAATTTTCTAATCAATTTTAATATAATTTGCTAAAGAGATTTTTATGTGGTTTAATATTTCAGTGTTAGTACACTTCAGAATCCTGTACTCTTAAATAGTTTTCTACTACTCTATTTTGTATAAAGATATTGATAATAATGATATTATCTGTATTAGTACTACACAAATGGTAGCAGGAGTAATAATAACATTAAAAATTAATGAGGCATTACTAGATTTAGCACAAAATTTAATGATCCACAATTTAGGGAAAATAAACCTTTTTGTATTTCCTTTCAGTAGCACTTAATTTTTATTATTAGGTTTTGAATTTAATTTCTTATTTTATTGTTATTTGAGAGAAGGGGGGATCTGTATTTTTAGAGGGTTTAAGAATATTTCTAGTACCTCTACATCTTTTTCTAGCACTACAAACACTGAATTCTGGATTCACTGAAGGAATTAAGGAAAAGAAGAAGGCTGTCTTAAAGTAAATCTTTTTATTGCACAGCATGACTGTAATTAGCAATGACTAAAAAACTTACTGACAGTAGTTGTACTTCAGTGAAGCAATTAAGTGTAAACTTCACTTTAAGTAGGCACTTAAGCATATCTAAAATATATGTTTAGCTTAATCTTGCTGAAATGGATTGTTTAAATAATATATTTCAAAATAATAAGTATATACTTCCAGGATGAACATGTTCATATTGTAAAGGTTAACTTTGAAAAAAGTAACTAAACACTTTGTTCAAGAATATGTTCATCATATTTTTTTGCCATATTTTTAGAGCTTGGACTTAACAAGACGTGGATACAGAGCACACTGGTATTATTATTCTTGTTTGAACTTTCTTCTGACAGAAGTATTTGTTAACTGGAAATTGAGTGGTCAAAAAGAGCAGGGCATTCATCTTTTTAACAGTTATTTCTTAAATGGCAATTACTTACTATCCAGTGTATGTGAAGTTGTTTGCAAATAATTCTGCATAACATTTTTATATAACAGTCTTTGTATTGCTTCATATGGAACTGCTTACATTATTTTTATATCTTAGTAAATGTTATTAATGAAAGCTCCTTCTGAATTTTCATCATTCGATTTTTATTAATTAAATGTGTTTCATTGTATAATATTTTGATGTTCTCAAAAACACAGAAACCAACATGAAATATGGTGAATCATTAAAGCAATTTTTTGCATGGTGATATTCTAAAAGGTCCTTTCTCTTCATAGGTATTTGTAATTTTGTTAGATCTTTATGGTGCTGTTGTGTTAAAGTCATTCATTAATTATTTTAATTTCTTTAGGTCAGTTGGTTTTTTGGGCATGATTTAATCTATATTAAAAATTCAATGGATTGTGAAAATCTTGTATTTCAGAAAGTTTTAAGGAATTAATGACTTTGTTATACATTACTAAATATTTCTGTATGGTCCAAATGGATGATTTATCTCTTGTTATGTGTTAATCTCTGATTTACTGGAGCTTGGCATTCCAGTGTTTGCCTGTTATTGAATGCATTACAGATTTTATGCTAATGTGTACTTCCTGTGATGAGAGCAGATTAAGCTATAAAAAGTACTTCTGTTTTCTTCCAGCTTACGAGTTACAGAACTGCCCCGACCCTCCTCCGTTTTTGAATGGCTATATAGTCAACTCAGATTACAGTGTGGGACAGTCAGTATCATTTGAATGCTATCCTGGATATGTTTTGAGAGGGCAGCCTGTTCTCACTTGTCAACATGGAATCAACAGAAATTGGAACTATCACTTCCCCAGATGTGAAGGTAACTTTCTGGTAGTACCTTTGCTTCAGAACTCACAGTACTTTCTGATTTTTCTTTATTTGTTTGTTTGCCTGTATATATTGCAGCTTTTGCTGAATAACAGTGCCTTTATCCTAATCTGTAGTGTAAGCAAATCAAGGCATAATATTATGTGCTTTTATAAATCATAAATGTTTCATGAATCATGTTCCTCAGCAGTGATTTATTATTCCTATTAATATCTGTCAGTTGTATTGATTATGAGAATTCGTGATACTGACAGAAATTATCTTAAACTCTATGTGAAGGACTAGTTCAAGAAGATACTTCATTCAAAAGCAGTTAGGTTATTGAGACAACTTTATCAATGTTCTGGAAGAAAATACAAAGTTATCAATGCTAAAAGGTCACTATAAATAGATCTGTAATATTTCTCTTTGTATTAAATATATGGTAAAGTTTCAAAATACCAACTAAAAATTGATATAAAAATGTAAAGTGTTAATAGTCAGTGTTTATAAAATTTTTTTAGAAACCTAGCCAAAGTCCAACACTTCATATTTTTATTTTAGTGGCACAGATGCAGCATCAAAGGGCATGCAGCCTTCTATCTATTCTTATTCCTCTTTACCCCCTAGAGAAGCATATTTCCTAAAATTCATGAAGGAGGAGAAACAGATTTTTATGCTATAAATCAGTATTTTCAGAATCAGAATCAGAAACAAGAGTAAATAATATATGTTCAGTTTGAAATAACATGCAAGAAGCAAATTAATATTTATAATGATGTGAAGATAAGGTCATTCTTACTTTTCCCTATCCCCTCATCCATAATTTTAATTCAGTGGTTTTATCTTCATTTTCTAACTCAAAGAAGGCATTCCTTTGCTACTGACATTTCTATAATTCACAATGTACATTTGGCCTGGTTCCTGTGCCTGTCAATCTTTCCTTCCAAGCCTACCCACAGTCATCTACATCTCCTCCATGCAGCTGAGCCCTGAATGCATGCAGCTCCATTGTGTGTGTGGCTGTGTACATTTATAGGTACCATTTCTGACTAAACAGCAGGTTCTTTTCTGTTTTGACTGAGTATTAAGAGTTTTCTGTCTCTCGGCACACTACTTGCTTTGTGGAAAATTCATCTGTGTGCATTAAAGCTCCACCTAGTACTGCTGAAATGATTGAATAATTGAACATTTTTGAGTTTTTTTTTCTACAAAGAAAACAAATTGTTACTCTGTTGTCATTTGACAGTAGATCTGAGAGAGAAATCAGTGAAAGAATTAATTCATTTTTCCAGCTATGACCAGTTTTGTTAGAAGTTTGAATGGAAACTTTCTACAGAAGATTGCACATACTTTTGAAGGCTAAGAATCTGTACATGGGAGAAAATTAGATTAATTTCTGCTCATATAATCATAGTAGCATCATGTCCTATACTGATACACTAAGACTTTACTCCTATGCAATCAAGTTGTTCTAGTGATTTACCATAGATGTCTTAGTATAATGTATGTAATTGTCAGTAAATGACTAACTGGGTTTGGGTATCTTTGGGTGGAATTTTAAAACGTTTACTGTCTTTCCAACACAATGTAATTAGGTATAAATGGGTAGGAGAACAAATAGTATGGCATTCATTCATTTATAAATCAACATGTGGTCTATTGTCAGCATTTGATAGTTTAGAAGATTTGATTATACACTTACTGATTTCAAAAATCTGTGTTTCTTCACCCTGTCATTCAAAGTTTAACGTAAAAAGTCATTAATTTAGAGTGATTTGTTTATTCACACTAAGGCTATTTTTATCTTGTGTGAAATCTAACCAGTTATTTCTGTTTAAATTTATGTTTTCTGTGATTTTTAAAGATCTTTGGAGAAAGTCTAGTGACAGCCATGTGTATTACTTTATTAGAGTTTTGTTACCCGTGGCACTTTTTGTCTGACAAAATTTATTGATCTTTCATGGCTAACAATCATATAAGAGCAATTAAACTGTCATTACTGAGATACAATCAATCTGCATTCCTTCTGGAGTATTAGAGAATAATGAAGTGAAAATAAAAAATGTATGGAATCATTAGTACCATTAGTAAACCTGTCAAAAATATAGCCAACTCAAGATATATTTAAATATAAAATTTTAATCAGAAAAATCCTGTATATTAATTAGAAGTTAATATTAGACTTAGGAAGCCTGTGCTCTATAGTAAGCATAACTGTCAAAGCAGTCTTAATTATAAACATGGAGTACTGTGGATGTGGAGAGAACAGAATAGATTTCCATTCTAGAGACCAGACAAGCGATCATTGCATGAATATAGGGGTTTAGGATATAGTAAAAAGTGGACTTCAGTCACATTTTCATCAGAACTCCTAGATCTGATAGACAGGGTCAGATGTCCTTGGCCTCCACATGCAACCAGGAATCAGACAGACAGAACAAACCCTTTATTTTCCTTAGCTGGTTTCATTTGTTGGCCACTAAAGATTCATGGTTCAGGAGCAGGTGCCATTCTGTTCACAGAATCACAAACTGGATCAGGTTGGAAGGCACCACCACAGTGGGTCATCTTGTCCAACCTCCTGCTCAAACAGAATCAACCTAGAACACATTGCACAGGATTGAAAATGTGCTGAATGCATCATACACTACTGATATGGATGAAGAAAGTGAAGTGGTTAAATTCTCCTTAGCCTGTCTTGTGAATGCAGAGATTATTAAAAGAACTCCTTCAAAAAGGGCTACTCATCAACTGGCCAGATTATCTTCTACCACAACAGTATAGCAGCTTTAAACCAGACAGAAATTGAGACATCCTTCTGCATTTCTCAATCCTCCTTCTTTTTTCCCTTTTCCTTTCCTGTTTTTTTCTTTTTCCTTTTATATTTTTTCTGCTTTTCTTTTCCATCACTTGTTAACTTCAAAAAGAAGTGAAGAGGGTCTGAAGGAGAGTCACAGGAACACTGACAATAGTAACATAAGCTTAATGGTAAGAGCTAATGAGAAGTGTTCTAGAACAAGGCTCAGTGCCCATAAATGAGATTAAGGTCTCATTCTAATAGGTGATCTGCACTAATGGCCATATGTCTACTTGGATACATGCTTTTACCCATATTCAGTCAATTCTTCTAAACTGAGACTCAAAAGAGCACATTATCACACATTTGCTCCCCTTGAATAAAGTCAAGCTTTTCATAGCTTTGATTTAGCTACAGACTTCAATCAGCAGGTGTGCACAAATTTGTGTCTCTATGTCCATTTTACTTGCCATAAGGATGATTGGCATACAATATTCAAGTGAATCACCATTAAAAGTTACTCAAACCTGGAAGAAATAAAGCATGATGGTTTTGGACTAGTGAAAGAACAACCTATTTCTTGCAGAATTGTATTCCAGTTCAGCTAGAGTTCAGTTGGATGGAAACATGGAAGACCTCTTTGCTTATTTGTTTTTTAATCTTGAATACAAACAAAAGGTGCCCCTTTTTAAATGGTGTGTGGACTTATTTTCAAGCATTGTATGCAAACATTAGATTTTGATGGATTTTAAGAAATGAAATCTAAAGACATCAGCATAAATTACTTTTAGAAAAGCCAATATTTATTTGAGAAGCAACCAACCAAGGAAAGGCTGCCTTTAAGATTTAGGTTGTCTTGTCTTGTGGAGCTTTAAGAATTTGGTAGCATTTTGATATTCCACTTGCAACATGAAAAACTATTTTCTACTACTAATTTTTTTAATTTGTTTTCTTTTCAGCTCCTTGTGGCTATAATGTAACTGCTCAGAATGGTACAGTTTATTCCCCAGGATTTCCAGATGAATACCCAAATTCCAAGGACTGTACTTGGCTAATTATTGTATCTCCAGGCCATGGGATTTATATCAACTTTACCTTACTTCAGACTGAACCTGTGAATGACTACATTGCAGTGTGGTATGCAGTTTTTTGAAAGAGAAGTGATTTTTTTCTGATTGATTTATGAAGTCTCACTGTCCCAAGCTGCAGATTTTCTTAGTATTGTTCCTTAGGTGATCATATATTCTGAAGAACAGCACAAAACAACCTCTAATGTTACCTGAAAGAAAAAAAAATAAATTTATCATTGTCTGAACTTTTTAAGAATGTTGTTCCAAAAAGTATTTTGAAGCTTGAACTCAGTTATCAATCAGATCTTGTTTGATTATTCTCTAAGTTGAGGCCATATAAGGTCAAAGCGATGTAATAATCCACACTATGTTGAATTATGAGTTCCATGAACATACAGGCAACATATGTTAGTTTTTGCAAAACTTTCTGTCATTTTTAGGCATTAACTAATTTAGGCATTAAGTAAGATTTTCTTAAATTTTCTTAATATTTCAATATGCTTGATAGACATACTTTTTATATTTTCTAACCCAGAATTTCAGGCCTTGTACCTTCATGTCTTTAAGCTTCATACTGTATGTTCCTCTTCTATGAATTTGCATTTCTTTCTACACAAACCCATTAAACTTGTGACCTCAGCTGAAGGAAGAGGCCTTAGAGGTTTCTAAATTCTTGCATAAGGATTTACTGCACTCAAGAGCAGGCACAGATGATTCCCAAAGGTGTTGCACATTGCCTCTGTCTAACCCTGGCCCTTACCCGACATACTGTGCAAAGTGATTTCTCATATATGCTACAGATAGTTCAGGAAAAGGAAGGTTTGCACAGAATACAGGACATAACTTAATCCTGTATGAGTCAGCTGCCCTGATCTCCCAGCTAGTGCACTCTTCCCATAGCTGTTGGTGAGGTTTTCTCAGTTTATAGCGATGCACTATTTCTGAACAGCCATTTGATTGCTCTGGTATTTGCATTACTTATAAACTCAAGTGTAAAATATATCATAGATTATCTTGTCTGTCAGGATGTATATATATAATGCTTGGCTTTTTAGTGATCAAACTGAGGTGACTAAATATCCCTCTGATTGAAAGACAGTGAAAGGTCAAAAGCTAACAGCTTTCAGAGACATTCTAGATAATCTCAAGCCTTCTGGAATAACACATTGCAAAAATTTTTTCATTCAGTTTATATTTATTACATGTAATATACAAAATAGCCAGAAATAAGTGTTGTAGAGCTAAAAAAATAGTTCAGTCATGAAAGTATGGAATTCTGTTTACTTATTCATTCTGACTGTTCAGGCCTGAATGTTCCACATTATGATACTGGAAGTGAATGAAGCCTGATGTTACTGGAGTGTGTTTCTCTTTGGGTGTCTTATCCTACTGTTGAGAAACAAAAAACACACAATTTTTTCCTGGTTTTTTTTCCCATTCTTTTTTCCCCCTTAGGACACACCTTTGAATTTTTGGAATTTATTTAAATGGCAGAATAACTTGCAATTTCCACAATTCTGTGTTTTAACCGTGAGCTGAAGACTTGTAGCACCTTGTTCAAAATGCTGGAAATATGACAAGCATGACAAGATTTCTATTTTCTTGGTTTTCTCTTCTTATGATCTGTACATGAAAATTTTTGGCAGGAACACACATTTAAAATTTCTTGCCACCACTGCATTTCTTGCCCATGTAAATATAAAAATTATTGCAAACTAGCCTGGTCTCTAAAAAAATATCATGTTTGAAGTTGGAAAGAGTATTCTCTGTGGCTAAAATTAAAAAAAAAAAAAAAGAGGAACTCATTTTAAATCATTAGGAAAACCATTTCTTACAAAAATTTAAACTGCTCTCCAGAGAAAAGAGACTGTTAATTTGAATGTAAAGAGCATTAGTTTTCAGCTGACTTGTTAATGTTTTACATTTCAGGGATGGTCCCGACCATAATTCACCTCAGCTAGGAGTTTTCAGTGGAAACACAGCTCTGGAAACAGCTTACAGTTCTACCAACCAAGTCCTCCTCAAATTTCACAGTGATTTTTCAACAGGAGGATTCTTTGTCCTCAATTTTCATGGTCAGTTTTCTTTATATAATTAAAGATAATAAAGATTAATAAATAAATTATAATTTATATATTAACCACAATAATTTAGTGAATTTTAAAAATATTTCTTAACTCTGTGGTTTACTGATTTATCAGGATTCATGGATTTGCTGTTTTGTTTTGTTTGGTTGTTTTTTTGTTTTGTTTCATTTTTTTGTTTTGTTTAGTTTTTTTGTGGTTTTTTTGTGGTTTTTTGTGTTTTTTATTTTTTAATTAAATATTAAAAAAATCCTAAGAATGTTAATTTGGTGCTTTTAATGAACTGTGTTCTATCTTTAAAGTTACCCATTACCATCTAATATTAAGCTCTTACCCTTTTAATTACTTTGGCCTATTTATTCAATAAGATTTAACTTTCTTTACTAAAATTATTCTCCAGATGACCATGCCTAGGGCTCATGGTCAGAAAAGTTCCTGGGATGCTATGGTCGGGTTGAACAATAGCATAAGGACTGATACACAGCAAAATACTTTGTTCAAAGTTACATTCAGCACTAAAGGTGGTGAAAATTAGGCATCTAACACAGAAGTGAAAAGCTGAAGTATAATTCTAGTTCTAATTTGGACTGTCACCCAAAATACGTGTAATAAATAGAAGCTTTTTAGCCTTCTGGACTCTAAATTAAAAATATACAATTAATTATTCATAAAGACCAAAGTAATTGTCACAGAGTATCTGAGATATCTATTTGCATGGGGAAGTCCATATGAAATTGTTAACGCAGAATTTGAAATGTTTCTCTTGTCTGTACTTTTCTCCTAAAATGAGGTCATGATACATTATCACCCAGTGCACTTAACCAGAGAAGCAAAAACTAAGGTGGATAGGATTATGAATTCTCTGTAAAATACTCTTTAACACACCAGCATTTAATTTTTTTCACTTAAATTTGCAGCTTATCAGCTCAGGAAGTGCCAGCCTCCACCCACAGTTGCACATGCAGATTTGTTTACAGAAGATGATGACTTTGAAATAGGTAAAAAGATAGTATTTCTTTTCCTTTCTTCTGTTTTTACTTGAATTCTAGTTAAACTAAGCTATTTCATCTTCCATCTGAGATTTTGATAAGTTTTTGTTTGAAGGAATTTTTGAGGTTTAACTTTTTTTTCAATACCTTTTTCAGGAGATTTTGTGAAGTACAGGTGCCATCCTGGTTTCACCCTTGTTGGACAAGATATATTAACCTGCAAACTGAATGCACAGTTGCAGTTTGAAGGGTCCTCTCCGTCCTGTGAAGGTAAATATGTACTTGCATGGTGTGTATGTCATTAATGTGCATCCTACATAAAGCATCAAATTTTAGACACCGTCATTTTGTTGATGCTAAAAAGAAAATTTTCCATTTACTTCTCTAATATCTAAGAAATTCACATTTTTTTAATGTATTTGGCCCTAAGAATTTCATGTAGAAATTTTATTCTTTAGAACCAATGAGAAGTGATTTTAACTATTTGACTCCACCATTACTGAAACACTGATTTCTTAGATTACTTTGCAATATTCTATATTGCTTCATATCAAACCAAGGATTTATTTTTATTTTTGAAAAATGCTAAAAAATCATTTATGATACTTTCAAATTAAAATAAGAAATTATTCTCTGTGCTTTGACAAATATGGTGACATTTTATACCAGACTTCCATGAAAAAGTTGCACCTGATTTCTTTTCTTCAGCAAAGTTGTATCTTTATATAAATTTAATTTCCTTAATTCCTTAATTTCTGGAAACTAGAATTACTTGGTTTTATTTTTATCCCAGCCTTCCCAGTATTACTGTGGACATAAATGTTGAATGTAATTCCTATTTTATTATAAAACCCTAGCTTATATTTATGAATCATATAAAATATTGCAAGATCACTTAAAAGTTGTGCTTTTAATGACTGTCTTTATAGTGTTTGCTCATAAATAAATATTTGAAAGTACACATGTTGCATTTTGTAAACCAAATTATCTGAAGGGGGGGGAAATATACATTTCTGCATCTGACCAGAAATTCTGTATACTAGACCATATACCCAGTGTTCCATATTTAGCACTGGCCAATAATGATTTTCTAGTGAAGGACAGAAAATCATTGCAAACATGCAGTTAATTAGGGCCTCAACCCAGCTGTAGCTAAACCAGCTGGAAATGTTCTTTATATTTTAAGTCCTGTACGGCTGTTTCTTCATTAGAATTATTCAGTTCTATTTTGAACCCATGTAAACACCTTAAATCCACAAATTTTTGTGCAAGAAGTTACAGAAATTATTTATTTATTTATTTATTTATTTATTTATTTATTTCATATGAGAAGTTATTTCTCTGTCTGCTTTGAACTTGGCACATGCTGTTTTCACTTCATGTCATCCAGCTCTTATGGGAAAAAACAATCAGTAACTCTTAAAAGTTATTCTTTATTCACCATACTTGTATCATGATTCTATAGACCAGAAGATATTCAATATTTTTAATTATTCTTCCCATCCTTCTCAATACCCTGCCCAATTCCTTTTCCTTAGGAGTGATGCAGGATGGATCAGCATTTATATAAAATTATTTTATCCTCATAGCTTGAAAAAAAATTTCTACTTGCTATGCAATTTGCATAATGTATTTTAAACTAATTTTTGAACTGCCTTCTTGTATTTCTACCTTTTACCTATAATTTATAGTTGTTCGTATTGTCCTTGTTTAGATCAGGTTCATGTTTTTTAAAGATACAAGAACACTTTCCATTTCCCTGAGCTGTGCCAATATGTTGTAGTAGTCAAAAAATATATTTCTATGATAGAAGGCCAAGTTCTAGCATATTATATATGAGTCTGATGACATATCTGACAGGCAAGAAAAATCAGTCTGCATGACCACTTCTACATCATTCTCAATAAATGACCTTCAGCGTAGCTGTAATCACAATACACCACAGTTTTCTTACAGCTCCTTTTCCCTTCCTGTCTGAGGACAGACTTTCTCAAAATGTTTTGTACTGTGTTATCTTGCCAAGTATTTTCCAGCATGCAGAGCCCGAGGCACCCATACAGAACATGCTGTCAGTGTGAATGGGTTTATGCCTCACAGTAGTTGAACAGTCGTGATTTCTGTTTCTACACTTGGAGCCGCTGCTCTCATCCTATCCCTTTATCCTCTTGCTACAAATGTCTTTCATTTTTTAGTTGCTGCTAGGAAAGTGTAGAGGTGTAAATTAAAGCATGATGGGCAGTGTGACAGCAAGAAATATTCCAGTAGTGGTCACAAAAATTGAGATACTAAAGAGTTAAAAAAATAATGGGTATTCAGTATAAGGTAATATAGCAGCCCAAAACAAATTAAGGAGATAATGTGATAATATTGTCCTAATGAGGTGATAATATTTATGAATAGAAGCAAAATCAAAGATAAGGATATCAAAAGTAGTACTACAGTTAAGAAGCTTGGTCAGGCCTTCCCCAAAAAACCTAGATCAGATTTCTTCAAAAGCCATATTAGGGAATGTATTCCTTAAAACGAGAATATGAAGAAAGTGTTATGCTGCCATGCAGAATTACCTTTCTTATGACAATACCTCACTGCACACAATTGCATGTGACTGTGTAACATAAAGATAGTTATTTCCTGTTATATTTTTCTAAGCATTGCTTCTGTGCATGAATTTATACAAGTTTAACAAATAACATTATTTGGAATTTACATGTACAACAATGTTATTAAAAATGAATGTAAAATAGATTACTTTTGTCCTCCAATATGCCTAAAGCATGTTTTTAGTATTTATTCCTGTTTCATTCCAAGCTATTTTACAGTAGCTACTTTTAAAATTCATGGGATTTACTTGTAAATAATTGATAATCAAATATATTGTGGGGCTCAAGCATTTAATCTATTTTGCAGCTCAGATTTTCTCAGCTGGTAAATTTCACATCAATTCCTAAACTTCTAAATGTGTAGGGAGTTGAATCAACCTGTAATTTAACTGACAGAAGAGAGTCCATGAGGTATCAAATATGTTAATATGTTAGTCAACTGACAAATAAAAGAAACAGTATTAAGAGTAGACTATTGTGGTGGATTGTCTTTGGATGGTCACCAGGTGCCCACCAAGACACTCTATTACTCCTCAGCAAGACAGGAGAAGGAAATAAGATAGAGAAAAACTTGTAGGTCAAGAAAAGGCAGTTTACTAAAGCAAAATGAAAAGTCACATGCAAAAGAAGAGAAAAAAGACAGATATTTTCTTCTTTACAGCAGCAGGTAATATCCAGACAATTTGTGGGAAACAGGACTTCAGCACATGTAGCTGTTGAAAATAATAAGTACACCCTCTTCTTCCTCCTTCATTTTTGCCTTTATTGCTGAGCCAATGTCATATTGTATGGAATATTCCTTTGATCAGTTTGGGTCAGCTGTCCTTGCTAGGCCCCTCCCAAGTACTGGGAGGTGGTGGTGCAGAATGGTGGAGACAGCACTGATGCTGGGCCAGCACTGCTCAGCAGTAGCCAAATTCCTCTGCATTATCAACTCCTTTGTAGCTACCAATATAAAGCACAGCACTGTGAGGGGGGGCTGTGGGGAAAAATAGCTCCATTTTAGCTAGACCTAACACAAATATGTTTGCCTCAACCAGAGAAGTTTTTATTTAGGAGTATTCTATTTTTAAATGTTATCCTAAAAGGGGAGAGCTAATATTATAGAAAAAGATTGAAGTAGCAGGTTTTGTTGGGTTTTTTTAACCTGTTGTGTGCATAGTGAATACAAAATAATAAAACTGTGGAGTTTACTTTCATTCAAATTACATAGGAAGTAAATCTTGGCAATAGGAAGATCTAAAGCTCAGTGTTTAAAAATATTTGGTCACTTCTGTCCTAGCACAAAAGAGGTACTGAGCTGTTTACAGATTAGGACATAATAGTTTTAATTTTATTTAATTTATTTTTTTTTATTTTATATATTTAATTTTTATTTTATTTTCTGCTCTAGGAATATGCTGGTTTTGTCTCAGTACCACAGAGGACTATTCCATATCTCCTTTCACCCTTAGCATCAGTACTTGTGTTGATTTGTATTAAAGGGGTACGGGTTTTTTTTCTCATAAACATTATTTCTCCTTTTTTGAAATTGTTTTGTTATTAAAATTCTAAAGTTCAGTAAGTGAATACAATAGAACATGTGGAAGAAAGAATTCCTACAGCAGTTCTGCTGATGTCTTTTCAATCCTAAAAGCAGTCAGACAGAAAGTCAGACACAGGTGGTTAAAAATGCGGTTACCTATATAAAGGATCCTTTATGGTGCACAGCAAGGTGGAATGCATGCCAAAAATGCTCTGAAGATGCATGTGGTAACATAAAGCGGGCACAATTTTATGTTTCACAAATTAGCATAACTGACAAGAATCACCAGTTAGAGACACATGAGACAATTCTTCCCTGGTTTGACCCTTTTTTGAAACTCCCCCTTTAGATACTAACTAAACCTTTTTTTGTGAGAAAGTGTCTCAAGATATTTTAACCTTGATTCCCAGAGAATTTAACCTCAGTCCCCAGAGGACTGGAGTCTCTAGGAATGTGTTTTGTCTTTCTGTCTAACAGAGTTGGTCCACAAATCTATCTAGTTATACAATAGGCTACAGAGCTACAAATATATAAAGAATATATAAAAGCTAAAAGGCTAAAATCAGTTTGGCATCACTGCATTGATCTATTTCTTGTGTATGTGTGATGACATGTTCAAGGAAATACTATGTCCTTTAAGCTGTTGATTTTTAATATTCACTCACCAAAGAAATGTTCTTAATTACAAAGAAACATCATACTTTTCCTCAATTATGAGAAAGGGGCATGAGGAAACACCTGGAAAAGGTACCTTTTCCCCCATGGTGAATAAATTAGTTTCAGGTCCCTTCTTAAGATTTGGCTGCAAAGAATGAGAGAGCTGAGAGCAGTATTTCTCTGTTATCAATAACTTTTAAATTCTTTTGAAATAAATTGTTTTGTTGTTATCTTTTCAAACCTAGTAAACAAGCTATTTCCTTGTCTCTTTCCTTCATTTTTTGTCTCTGATGTCTTTGCAAGAAAAACTAGATAATCCAAGAGAAAAGCAGCTGAAATAAGAAGGCAGGAAAAATAATTTCTTTGGGTTTTTTTAATCCTTTCCTCTCCCCTCCACAATTTCCTACTCCTGTCTCTTTCTCTTTCTGCAGACCATTCTTACCTGTTCTCTGGAGCACTGCTGCAGGTTTCTGAGATGACCACAGCCAGTGTCTCTTTCTTCCTGTTCTATGACTGCTCTTTTATCCCAAAAGAAACTAACATTTGTCACTTCTCTGAATTGTTGATTTTCCTCTATGTTTTCATTTCATTCCTTCACTGACTCAATTTTTTAAAGGTGCTTGCACTATATTTCTTGAGTTAGTGAACAATATCTCAGCACTTATTGACAGTGTTCTAGGTACCACTATACATTGATCTCAGGATTTTCAAAATGTATTTTTGAATCTTATTCTTAGTTGATAATCTTCTACTCAAAATTTCAAAAGCTTCATATATTGGAGTAAGTAAACAGAGTCCATTTAGAGAGTTCTTGAGAAGATATTTGTAGGGCACCTCTCTGAAAATGATACCTGTGGTAATTTAGCTGAAAGAGCGCCAATATAAAGGAGGCCATAATAGCCTTTTAGATTAACCCAGCTGTAAACTTCTCTGGAAGAATTATACTTCCCAAGTAATGAGATCAGCAGGCTTTTGTCTTGTCCAGACTGTATCTGTGTTATATTCAGGTTTGGTGTTTAGTGTTTAGTGTTAAACATGGCATGTTTACAAAGCCACTCCAGATGTTCTTCCAATACTCCCATATCACATTCCAAGTGACCCATACATTTCAACTTCTTGTTTATCATGTTTAGTTGATTGTAGCCATTTCTAAACCATAGTTTATCCAGAGAGGTGACAGTTTTCCAGTATTGAAAAAAATCACTGTGCGTTGCTGTGAAAAGTCTGACAACATCACTTATTCCTCCAGGACACTTGTAATTTATGAATTTGAAGACAGGCTTTTAATTCTCAAGTAGCTCTAGTAGACATTACCATTTTTAATAAACATTTCAAATAAGTCAATACTCACTAAAATTCACCTTTTCCCTTCTTAAAATACTCAATAGCGTAAGGAATGATACTACAGGATAAAACAGGTTGTGGAACTGTGTTGTGTCAGCTACTCTTCATTACTGATGTGCACTTTTATTCATGTCTGACAGGAAATGCTTTTGGGAAAATTCTTGCTATTTATCTGATAATATTTCTCTGCCCAATTTTTTTCTTTGAGAATTTGTAGGCTTACTTGTATTTTCTGTGGATTTATGAGTCAAAGTACTTTTTGACAGTATTTTCCCAGGTTATTCTTGTCTTATTCTGAAGAATAGAGTAAGTCAAAGTAGCAGTGTGCATCATTTTAAGAGAACGAGAGAAGCAGCTATTGTCATTAAACACATACATTAGACAGATGTTCAAGTGAAATTTCTGGGTGTAATTTTACTACAGGTGTTTCTACCTCAAGAGGCAATCCCTGGATTACTGGCAAAACAATTCTTACTGCTTTATGTACCATTGTCCCATCAGCTTTCACTCTCCTAAGATCTTCTGTAAAAGATGGTTTTGCCTCTAAGGGATCTTTCTGTTGCAGCCAGTGTTGCCAAATGATAGCAGAAAGGGATATATGCCAAACAAAAATTATTTGCTCGCAATCTTTTCCTCAGTCCAGATCTTGTTCTCCTGTTTGATGGCCTATTCTCACTTGCATATTACATCCCTCCTTTTCACTGCCTGACACTTTTGTCTCTGACCAAAGAGATTTTTAGCTACAACTAAACCTAAATTATACCTCCAAGTTTGTTAAAGGCCTTCTGAAGGAAATGGTCCAGTTCTTAATGTTTGTTTCTGATATTTATGTGTGGATTTTCCCCTATAGTATGTTTTTTCTACTGATCACTTTTCCCTTTGTTGTTGTGTTTTTTGGCTTTCTTACAACCTTTATTTAAGTGTCTGGGTACTGTGAGAGATTATTTCCAGGAATGCTTTTCTATGAGATATATTTGTGAATGTTTCATAAAAAACATTGTTAAAATGGACATATATTATGAAACTGTGGACAAAATATATCAGATTTCAACAGGAAACAGATTTGAAAAGAGAGTCCTGCATAAGAGGCAAAATATTAAAGAAAAATAGTGACTAACAAAACTTCCTAATCCAACAAGGGTTTAGGATACCAAATTTATAGTATTTTATTATACTATCTTCCTTTCAGTATGCAGAGGTCATAAACACCTATGATTATGGGGTGAAATTTAAAGTTCAGACTTTAAATAATAGGGCAAGTAGTTGCTAAGGTCTTACTTGGATCACTTGGAGCATTCTGTATCCAAAGTGAACACCTTACATAAAACTTGTGTACTTTCAAGTGATCTGCTATATCTAGATCTTTCAGTATTGTCATGTTCATGTAACAGGCTTCTTTCTGAAAGCTGGGTCATTTTTTTTAAGATCCCAAATGGAATACAATTTCCAAATAAAAAGTTTTATCAGTACTTTTACCTCACCTGCGTGAATTATCACAACCAACATATGTGAATTCCTTGACTGAAACTGCTTTGGGGTCTAACATATTTCTTTCTGGTTAGACTATTTACTATAATTAATAAATTAATATAATGTTTCCTAAATGCAAGTTTTAATAAAGTGGTCCTTTTTCCATGCATATTATAGGGAACTTTTTTACCCCTTCCATCTAGAATATGGTTCTAATGCGTTTTCATTTGGAAACTGACCCTGAAGTATGCATTTCATGGTGAAGAAGCACTTTGTTTTATTGCTACTCTTAGTTCTCTTTTTGTGTCCTTTTCAGCACAATGTCCAGCAAATGAAATTCGTACAGAATCGTCAGGAGTGATCCTCAGTCCAGGTTATCCAGGCACTTATCCCAACTCTCAGACATGTTCTTGGACTATTAAGGTTGAGCCAGGATATAACATCTCCATTTTTGTAGAAATGTTTCAAAGTGAAAAGCAATTTGATGAGCTGGAGGTATTTGATGGTAAGAGAGATTTAAATTCTGTCTAATTACACAAGAATAAATACTGGGTGGAGTCATTTCGAATTGTTGGGTTCATATAACAGTGATATATCTGAAATTTAAACAATAATTCAGAATTCCTATTACTTATGCCTTAAGTCTGAATCTATTAGCTAATGTAAGTTTTTATAGATGTATTCAGGACAGAGAAGATTTTAAGTTTTCTTAGGTATTGTTACAGGAGGAGCAATAAAAACTGCAGCTTCCCTAGGAAAGTCGCTCAGTTTTCTGTTTCCTGGGAGGTGTATGGAGGTGTCTGAAAGGAGAAGTTAACATGCTGGTCTGTAAAGGTTCATTTCTGGTGAAGAAGTAGTTTGGGGTTATAACTACATTTTTCCAAATGAATAAAATGATTTGAGTCTAAATACTGAAATTTGAGTTCAAATACCTTTTCTGCTTTCTCCATAGCATAGCAAACCAGTGCTGTTCACTGTTTGAATATACTGTTGAAGTGTTGAATACCACTGTGGAAGTGTTCAACCTCTGTTTTGAGAAAAAGAGCAGAGAAATGACCAAAACTCATTTTCTAGTGTTGTCACCTCTCAAAGGGCCCTACATAATTCTTATTTTCTACTTAATTCTGAATTTATTGTGATTTACTATTGATTTCATTTGAGTTCCCATTGATTGTCAAGGATAACTAGTCTATGATTGTTCTTAAATACATTTTTATTCATTTAGAGACCATTATCATGTCTTCCTTCATTAACCAAGAATATATGATAAGTGTGATAGAAACGATGAATATTCACTATGGGAGTTTCACAGCATGAAAAAATATTAAAAGGTCATATCTTTTGAGGTATTTTTTTCTAAGTATTCTTCTGCAGGATTAGAATTTAATGTCTAAAATTATTAAATTATTTTACTTTCTGGTAGAAACATCCTAAAAAAATTTATGAAACTTTTGATGCCACTTCATTAGCATATTTTTTCTTTGTAACCTGTATGCTGGTCCATGTCAGATTAGTGCAGAAAATAGTTTGCAAAAAATCTATTAAGTGGCTTTTTCTCTATTCCATTTTGTATCAAAGACAATATGGAGCATTACTGGAACTTTTCTAGTGGTCTGATCACTTTGTTTGCTTTTGATAAATTCTGTTGAAACAGTATAATTTTCCTGATGTATATTTTTGTTTTCTTTCCTGTGAATTTAAATGTAAAGAAACCAGATTATCAATAATACATCTGAGAGAAGAGCTAATGTTGTTCCTACATTTTTAAACATTTTAATTTTATGGCATGAAATAATATGCTTACAAATTCATTTCTACTGCAGCTCTGCAGAAGTAATTTTTTCTACCACCTACCAGCAACCTTAAGTGAAAAAGATAATGGCATATTTATAACCTCTCAACTATTGTGCCGTGTGGAGATTCCTGAGCTAGCTCTCAACAAGTTTGTATTCAGATATGGGCCATTGCAGTGGCTTGCAGAGATACTTGTTTGTGTCCCTGTGGCCACATTAGCAATGTACTTTACTAGACTAATTAGTTGTACATCTCAGCATGAGTTTTTGGGGGCAGAAGGCAATGCTGATGTGGCTAAACTGCTTCCAGTGATGGCTATAAGTCAGACTGAAATGTTGCTGCATTTTGCAGCACATATATGTTATATTGTGGGGCCCTGTGTGGTCCAAAAGAGCGTAATTCATTTAGGTTAGTAGAACTGCACTGATATATCTATAACAGGTAAAGACACATCATCAAACTTTATGCAGAAACTGTATAAAGATTTTTCAAGACAAGTTTTAGAGAACTGGTGTTGCTAAGACACTCATCTCTGATTGCTTTATAAGGCAGCTTTGGAATGCAAACCACAGCAGGGACTACACCTACCTGACTGCACTGTACATTGTGGTGCTTCAGCAGCTGGATGATGATCAGTGTAGGAACCAATCAGTAAAGTCACCCTGAACAACTGGGAGCAGCAAGCCCATTAGCCATTCCCACTTACCTGTCAGACCCTTAGAAAAACCTACCTGGATTCTAAACTAAAGAAGCCATAACGTTACATCAACATAATTATGAAAGTATTTTGGACTAGAAAATACTGCGTTCAGGCTATTTACACTGAATAGCATTAATTTAATACAGAAAATATTCTTTTTTTCTCTCTGAAATAAACCAAGACTAATATATCACTTAAAATAGAAGGAAATGCAACTTTTATCTAATATTCAAGAGAACATCATATGACAGATCACCACACCAGAAGTTGAGTGTATTCAGTATTTCCTTATACAGACAAAGTCTGAAATAATAATTAAATAAATGTCAGATTCAAGAACAACTGAGTCATGCTGCTGACCTTCCTGAACACTCTCTGAAGAGCTGACTGCTAGTCATTAGCTGACTGCTAATGACTAAAAAATTTGGTGTGGCATATGGTGCTGCAAAATAATTTCATGATCACTAATAAGGATTCTCACCTTACTGTGGGTAGTTGATCTTTATTTGTAGAAGTCCATTTTTTAGTCCCTTGAGGATTTTAAAAGAACATTTACATTCCAAACTGTAGCAAGGGTATTAAACAGATTTATAAAATCCAAAGTGAAGCACAGAATAACTGAGTCAAATGTCATGTTCTAAATAATTTTTTCAACCAAAAATAGAAATTTACCTATGCATTCCTTATCATTTATCCTGCACTGTAATCATCAAACACTAACTCTGCAATATGCTAAACAAACAAGTTATGAAGCATATTGATGAGGGCATGATGAGCAACCTATGCCTAAAGCAATGCTTATTTTTTCTTATATTGTAGATGCATTTATTATTTAGAATTTTTTTAGTAATACTTAGTTAATTGTAGTATTGTCATTAGGGTGGCTGAAATGCAGTTCCTAAGAACTGGGAGATAATTTTAATGTTTATGTTTTTGTGGTTTCCATAGCCTCGCTTTTATACTTGAAATGTCCCAGTCAGAAAATGCACCTTTATTTTTATTGAACAGGATGGGGCTGACAACAATCATATTCAATTTTTAGGTGTCATTTAATTCAGTTTTATTTTTGTATTTTCATGAAACATTAAGAAGACCTAATCAGGCTGTAGCTGCTCAAACTCAGCAAAAAATTAATAAATGAAACTCTATTTGTAACAGCAACTGAGACCAAGATAATGTTGGTTGACATAGCTTTCTTAAACTTGAAAAAAAATGGAGTAAAAGACATAGGGAGCATATAGAAGGCAGTGGTTCAGCTGGAGAGAACATAACCTTCAAATGGAGGAAAAAAATGCCATTTCACGTTTTAGAGATCTTCCAGTTGGAGATTGGATTGATATATGTTGCTGTATAATCAGTGCTGAAATCATTATCTGTGCCTCTAGGGTTTTATTCTGGTGAAGATAGTGGTTTAGGGCCAGGACACAATTTTTCAGCATCTTGTATTTACCATAAATGAACACTACACTAAAATGAAACTATAATAAACATATTAACTAACAGAACTGAATCCCAGTGAAGCATGTAAGTTCCTAGCACTTTTACTATGTGTAAATAGTTTTCACAAGTGAAACTGTGAAACTGTGATGATCTTACACATGACAGAACTTTTTATTTGCTACTGTGGTTATTATGTAATGTGGTGGTGTTTAAATTATACAAGAATTACAATATCAAAAAATGTATAGGTTTGCTACCACTCACTAGTTAGAAAAGAGCTTAAATAAATAATAGATTTAAAAGGGTGAGGAGAAGAAACACAAACTCATTCAGTGCATTTGTGTCACATGGAAATGAATACTTTTTTTTTTTTAAACCACTACTTTTTAATGGAGAAAAATTTTTCATATTTATGGAGAAATCACAAATTGCTTTATATTTCCATTATTTTGTATCAAAACTTTTTATCTTGCATAAAAACATGTTTATAAACATACACATATGTTTACATATGCTTGTATAAAGCAGTTATAGTGCTCTCTAGTGAAAACCTTAAACCAGATGGAAAGTTTAAACAGAGATCTGTTAGTTATTTTTCTGACAAGGAAGTGTCAGGCTATTTCCTATTCTACCATGCTCACATTCACAGATGAGTTAGAATGTGGAAAGAATTACTTAAACCCATAGTAATTTAAAACTTCAATAATTTCTTTATTCATCTCTGAAGGTTCTTCTGGGCAAAGCCCTTTACTGGTTGCTTTGAGTGGAAATCATACTGGTCAACTGAACTTCACAAGCAAAATGAATCAGCTGTATCTCCGCTGGTCAACTGATCATGCAACCAGCAAGAAAGGGTTCAAGATCCGCTACTCAGGTGACTATTCATGCTTTCTATTAAATTATACTTTGTGGATATACTGTTGTCCCCCTAGACTTAAAGCCATTGCAACTGTTCAGCATCAAAGAGAACTTGTAAAATAATGTCTGTTTCTCTGAAGATAATTTTTTATAGCACATACTTCAATCATTCTTTTTAAGTTTAAGGTAAGCACAGAACTTGGCCTCTCCATTTTTTTCCAGTGTGCCAAAGATCTCTGGATTAATACTTCTCCAGCTAAGGCTCCTCTCTGCACCTGTTCTCTTGTCTTATCAGACAGATAAGAAGAGAGGCCTTTTAAATGTAGTGGTAGGAATAACTGTTAGATTTACACAAAAGTACTCAGGAGTGAGAATTTTGATCCTCAACAGCTGTCCAGTACTTCAGCTGCAATTCAGCACACAGTTATTAGGTTTACAATTTCCTAGTGTTGCAGTTCACAACTTGCATTATTATGTTTTTCTTCATGTGCAAATAAATGAAAAAAAGGGGAGGGGGGGTTGTGGAATAAACCCCTCATTTCTTCAACAGTCTGCATATGAATCTGGTAACTTGAAAATATGTAAGTCGATTATCTAAATAGTGCCAGAATTATTTCCCTTATGAGTTATAATAATCAAGAAGAAACATATTGCAGTACTGGATTATGTATTATGTGTAGACATGTTGACCCTTATTCAGTTTGCAGCCTCTTTGTGATGTTTCCACACATCTACAGACACATTGCTACTAAAAGGCTTGGCTTAGACATCATTTACATGATGTGAATAGTACATGTGAGAGAGAAAGGTGATAATTGCTATCATTAACATTTCCTTCTTCTGTGTTTGGACTTGATTAGCAATGTAAAGGTTGTCTGTGTTAATTTTGGTGGCTAATAATTGTCAATATAAACTAAGCAGAGAAAGGAATACTAAGAATGTTTTAGCAGAACATTTCCTGAAGCACCAGGTATCTCTTATTTAGTCATGATATATGTTCTTAAGGAGACAGTTTTTGGAAAGCTCACTCCTTTTCTGTACCTTCCATGCTCTGCTTATCTAATTTCCAGAAAGTTTCTCTTGTTACTGAAACATAAGATCAGGGCTGAGCTCAGAGCATAATTATGATTGTTTTGGGGGTTTAAGAACTAAGCAGAAACTGTTAGCAGTCAGGAAAAAAGTCATTATCTACACCTGCACCTTTAGATAATTACTACAGACAAACTGAAGCTGAGGGATGGGAAAAGGAAAGTTTTTTTCAAGAATACTGGAGATTAATTTAATTTTTATAGTAAAAAAGCAATTGCAAGACTTAATAGTTGGATTGAGAGTGTGAAAGAGGGAACAAAGATAATCTGTCACATCATAGCCCTCAAATGTGTGGCAGTGAAAGGAGTGAGCTTTCATTCATTAATTCATAATAAGAATGACAAAGCAGTATCAGGGTTACATGAACAGACTTGATGTGAAGATTTTGGTTTGTAAATGTCAAATTATTAAGGAGACCAATTTTTGAGAAATGGCAAAATATTTTGTACCTTTGCATGTACACAAAACGCCTTTTGCAGTACTGAAGAAATGGTCTGTAATTACTAGGCTCAGTTCATCAATTATTATGGCACTAGCTATGACTAATGATAAAATTGGGGGACTGGAGACAGATATGCAGTCCTTATGGCTATGTTTTGGGAGCAAACAACAGTTTAGCTTTTTTTCCGCTTCACTAACCGTCAGTGCCTGCATTTTTCTCTAAACTTCTGTCCGTTTTACATGAGATTCAATGGAAATAATCAGCATGAAAGAAGAGTAACAGTGAACAGCAGCATAAACAATTGGATTTGAATCCTAATGAGGGAGAGCAACATCATGAAAGCAGGGAAAATACAAGATCCCAAAAAGGCTATTGATACTGTGGCAGCTGTGACTGAGCCAGCAGGCTTCCTCATGATGAAGAACCTATTGAAATGAATTACTGCCCTCCCATAACCTTTCCCTTCTCCAGCTATGCCTGTGCACAAAATTTTGTAAATTGTGGTTTTGTCACAGCTAGATTTCACTTGAAGTTACAAATTTTATTCACTGTTAAAAAGTGCTTGAAACTTTGATGGGAATGCTTAATATTTTCTTTAGTATACAACCTTAATTGTGTAAGCTGTTTGCTTAATATTAATACTATATTTACAATCATGGGGTATAAGACTTTTTGCTAAATGTCAGTGGAAAAAAGCTGGGGCATTACAGCAGATGGATATTCTTTTAAGGGTTTTGACATATTATAGAGGTACTAGCATAGATTTTAGTCCAAACTATACATTTTGTAACTGCACTGTTGCCTAGATATTAAAAGATCTCTTTCTTAATCTATGGAGTATCTGCATAGCATCCCTCAATAATTTATAACCCTGCATGCACATTCCTACCCAAGCAAGCTAGGGTAAAAGTATAACTAAGAAGAGGTAGATGACTTATTTTTATTCTTTTCATTTTTCTTTTTTTTTTTTTTTTATAATTGGTAGAGGAAATGAAAGTGCTCTACAGTACCTAGCATGTACACTGGAGGCACAATGGCTTGAGAACCAGATGGGAACTTCATTTGCTGCTTTTCAAATTGACATTGCTACTATAACATTTACAGGGTTTTTTTTTTTAACTTTTAGTTATTCTTTCAAAAGTAAATTAGTCAGGTGGTTACTTAGATAATTTATAATTTCCTGCCAATAGCTCTGTTTGTTCTTATGCCTCAGATTTATCTGGCCAGATTTTTGTAGAAGGGGAGCTACAAGTATGGCTTCTGTGAGAAGCTTCCAGAAGCTTCCTCCATGTCCAACAGGACTACCTCCAGCTGGTTCCAAGATGGACCTGTGGCTGGCCACAGATTGTGGTAGTGCCTCTGCAATAACACACTGAAAAAAAGATACATACATACATACATATATATATATTCAGCAGCAGCTAGGAGTGAGAATACATGAGAGTGACAACTCTGCAGAAACCAAGGTCAGTGAAGATGGAGTAGGAGGAGGTGCTCCAGGCACCAAAGCTGTTTCCCTGCAGCTTGTATTACCCTTTAACCCTAGCACACCACTAAAGCCCACCCAACTGCTTTCTCCCTTCTCCCACAGCAGGATACAGGATGGAGTAGAGAATCAGAAGAATATATATGACAGCTATCTCCAGGAAAGCAGGGCTCCACCAGTCTTAATGGTGACTTGAATATAACTTGCAACATTGGTCCTTCCTTCTTCTCACAGCTTTTATTGTTGATCATGACAACATCTTATGGACTATCTCTTTAGTCAGTTGGGGTCAGGTATCCCATCTGTATCCCCTCCCAGATCCCTGTGCATCCCCAGCCTCTTTGCTGGTGGGATGGGCTGAGAAACAGAAAAGACCTTGACTCAGTGTAAGCCTTGCTCAACAATGACATCTCGGTATTATCAACACTGATTTCATCAGAAATACACAACACAGCCTTATATTAGAGCCTTTGAAGAAAATGAACTCTACCCTAGACAAACCAACACACCTGGGAAAAGAAGAGGGGAAGGGGAGGGCAGGCAGGGCAGAGGCTTTTCGCATTTTCGCTTTTTGCTTTTTTGGTTTGATTTCTTATTATCTTACTCTGATTTGATTGGTAAAAAATTAAATTAATTTCCCCAAGTCAAGTCTGCTTTTTCTGTCAGTAACAGCAGAATGATTTCTCCCTGTCTCTATCTCAGCCCACAAGCCATTTGTTTCATTTTCTCTCCCCTGTGTAGCTGAGAAGCGGCTTTGGTGTGCACCTGGCATCCAGCAAGGGTCAGCCCAGCACACTTTTATTATGTTCTTTCAATCTCATATGTAATTGCAAGAAGCTTAATTCTTCACCATTCATTTCTTGGTTTTTTTTAAGCTTTGGACATGTTAAACAAGTGTTCCTACTCCCTCTCTATTTCAGTTCTAAATAAAAGAATATTGATTGGTTTGTCTACATTTTCCAGTAGATGGTTAGAAGTGACAAGGGAACTGTGTGAAGAAGTTCATCAGACTCTGAATAATTGTTTCTTCTCCAATTTGCAAACTTTTAGGTGGTGATTTGCACAGCGGGAAGGTCATAGCAATTTATACAGTACTCTGAATCATAAAAAATATTCAGGATGATTTATAAAGGTTGAACCATTAGTAAAAACAGCTTATATGAATAGCAGGTTATTTAATCAGATATTTATTTTTGGAAGGGGAAGACATTCACAATTATGTCACTAAAGAGGAAATAGGCCTTTGCAAATTTATATTGTCTTTTCATATTGTTTATTTGTTAGATTTATAATAAAATGTAAAAGAAAAAGAATGACAACTGGATCCCTTTTTGTTGCTTAGTTGAGTATTGCTCTCCATTTTGATCCTATATATTTTAAAGTGAAAAGTAACATACAGAATGGATGGTCCGTTAATTAAAGAAATAGTTTGGTAATAAGAAAAGATATATTTAGTTTTCTTACGTTACCTTACCTTCTTCAGGCAGTGTTCGATTTCTTATCTATAAAGTGAGTATGACAGTAGCCTCTACTGCAGTGGATATTTAAAGAATAGCAGCACAAAGACATAAGATTTCCTGGTAATATGACAAAGACAATTAAATATCCAAAAGGGAAAGTTATAAGGAAAGAGTATACTGAGGTGTGACTTTTGATTTCTCAACATAAAATCTAGCATGTAAGGTAAACAAAGCACTGTGGTATCAGAAGGAAATTTTTTCATCTATTTATAATTTCAAACATAGTTCTGTTTCTGTGAATACTTACAAATATCTTCTTCGTATTAGTTTTTTTGATCAAAAAAAGTTTTTTATCTCATCAAAGATACTGCTGGGAAATCAAGGCCTTTGCTAAGAGAAATTCTCTGATAAAATTTTGTAGATTCCCTGTAGAGAGTGAGTTCTACAAAATCATGTGGGAGGGTTGGACATGGAGTTTAAAAGAATTTTAATTTTTAATTGGGAGTCATTTAATTGAATTTCTTTGAGACAGTGTCTCA